CTATCTTAACCTGCCCTTAAAATCAATGAGTGGTTGAGAACAATGACTAGTATTAAATTTCTGGCTGATACATAAGCTGATTATTATTTTCATTTTCTATAATATATACAAATTCTATAATATTTCTGCCTAATAAAATAAAATAAAATAAAAATAAATAAATGTTACAAGTGAATTTAGGCATCACAAAATTATAATATATGCTATGAAAAATGGATAAACATTTTGAGATTTTCTAAAGATTAAATTTAACAGTAATTTAAATATAAAAATAGAGGAAATGAGCTTGAAAAAATAAATATCCAATATCTACATTTTTAAAAATCCATTTTAATATCGGCAGATAACCGATAAATGGTCAGTATTAAAACTGTATATTATTTTGTTTAAATACATTTAAAATAAAACATTAAAATCAATCCATTTAAATGCTACAAGTAAATATATAGGCATTACAACATTATAATGTGAAAACATTTTGAGATTAGCTAAAGATTATATTTAACAATGTTAAATTATTACAATTCTTAGTGTTTTTAAAGAATAACTTTAAGTGAAATTAAATGACGGCAAAGGCAATTTAAAAGTAAAAATAAAGGAAATTATCATGCATAATAAAATATAAAACATCAATATCAAAAATGTAAAAAAAAAACTCTAATAAACCCCCCAAAATTTCTTTAATAAAGCAAAACGATATTACGCCGATATATTGTACGATATATTGTACATCCGTAATAAAAAAAATTTAAAAAAGTTACATCACCTAATTAACATTCATGAGAAAGATTGCCACAAATATGTCACCTCCACATTCCTAAAATCTGATTGGTTGCTATAGGAAAGATGATTCAAGACCATGTCCTACTTAAATGACCAAATTCAGTCGCTACAGTGCCAGAGGCCACGTACAAAGTCTACTTCCTTGAAGACAATCCAGGAGCGGACAGGTTTCCTCCCCGGTATTGTGGGGCAGACATGTTCTGTGATCACTCCACAGGCTCCATTCTTCTGAAGCAGGCTATTTTTCGCTGAGTCAGACCCCGCTATTATCCGATGTCTTCCTGGGGTGCCACTCTCCCCACGCCATCCCACAATGCCTCCTCCAGGAAATAGAAGAGAGGACGTGTTCAAATAAGTGTGAGCTCCCGAGAAGCATGGCCAGTGTTTGCTCATAACCTTTCCTGACCTTCCAGCAGAGGACAAATACATTTACTCCAAAGGGTGCCATGAACCGCACTCGCTTCCCGGTTTACCACAGATACGGTTTCACGCAGAGAACACAGACGGTTCTTATAAACTCAGAAGAAAGTCTTTTCAAAACTCTCAGTACATCTGATCAAATTGTATCAAAACAGAATTGCTCGCCCTTTCTTGGCATCTCCTGAAATCCATCTAGGACACAGCAGTGTCTTTTTTTAATCTACTGCCCCAACAGGAAAAAGAAAGCTTTTGTGCTTTGTTTTTTTTTGTTAGTTCTGTTCAGGAGTATGTCTCTTTTCACTGTTCTATCATTAAAAAGGATGTATTTTATGGTCAAGGTACTAACTCCTCCCTGAAATTCTATTTAAACTGTTGCATAAATGGTAAACTAGATGAAATTAAGGAAAGAAAAACTGTTAGACCACCTCTGATTAATGTTGTATGGGAGGTGAATAATGCTCTGTTTAACTGGAACTCTGAGGTTTGCGTTTGTGTCAGGAACTGACTCATTTAGTGACTGATTTCACTCTGACTCTCCCTAAGCTGTTGTTCTGGCGTTTCCACTGAGCTGAGGAAACATTAAAGGAAAAACAGATTTTATGATAAAATAACCTGCACAAAAAAAAAGCTCTTCTGTTCTCGCCAAACCTCACAAAGTCATGATCTATATACACAATAATAATAATCTATCTATCTTTAGCTATAATATCTATTTGTTTCTTTCGTAATTCATTCAAAAACATTTCCCTTTTTTTCTTTCAGAAATGACTTGTCTTGTCTATAATCGGTGTCTTTCACTCTACTTCACTCAAGTCTCTCGGTCTTTCTTGTTCTATTTCTGAATTCACAAAAAAAAAAAAAAAAAATTTCCGTAGCTAAATCCAGCAACATTTACAAGCTAGCTAAAAGGGAGTCCAGTGATCAGCCTGGAGCAGACGTGCTGACGTCAGTGGCAGAGTTCCAGTAAGGGTCTCTCTCTGGCTATCTTTGGTCTCGTGAAGCGGTGGGCTGTGTGGAGAAAGCAGTCCTTTTGTGACAACAGAGTTTTTTTTTTTTTGTAAAAATAAAAAAAAAAAAAAAAAAAAATTTCCGTAAGCTAAATCCAGCAACATTTACAAGCTAGCTAAAAGGGAGTCCAGTGATCAGCCTGGAGCAGACGTGCTGACGTCAGTGGCAGAGTTCCAGTAAGGGTCTCTCTCTGGCTATCTTTGGTCTCGTGAAGCGGTGGGCTGTGTGGAGAAAGCAGTCCTTTTGTGACAACAGAGTTTACCTCAGGGCACGGCGTGGGCCTCCCGCTGCCCCGGGCCACAGAAGACACCCTAATGTTCCTGTGTTCCCTGAACAAAGCCGGCCACCCGTGCCCCTGCTACACACAGTCCCACTGAGCCATTGTTCCGCTGACAAACTCTCAACCCAAATTTCATTACATATGAATTTTCCTTTGTCGCCCCTTCAGGCCCCCCTTTCACGTTTTGCTCCGACAAATCTTTTCGGGTTTCGTATTCCACCCCCTCCCCAAACCAGTTATCATACAAGACTTGTGATTATGCATGTCAAAAGAAAAGGATGAAACAGCAATGAACACATGTAACTCGCAGGACAAACATAGTCTGCATGGTCAAATTTAGCACCAATCTACACCGAAAGCTCTTTTTCACTAAATTAAAAGTCCACATTTCTCTTCTTTTGATCAGCAAAACTATGACGCAGATCATAAGCACCTGTTGCTTAAATACTTGGCATCTTCGCCTCACATATCTGAACTTTTTTCTTAAAAATACAGCAACACTCAGCAAAACTTGGGATTATTTTTGACCTTTCAATTAAAAAATTCAAAATATCTCACTGTTAAAGACAAATGTCTGACAAAAAGATATTGGGGTTTTTTGAATGAAAACCAACAAGATGGAGGGAATATTTATCAGGTCGCAAAAGTTTTTTTCCCTTTCTTTTGTCCCATTTTGTTAGCATTTCCCACGCATACATTTCTAGTAATTGCATTAGACCAAGTTGAAAAGTGTAATTTATTTCCTACTAAAACTGTATGGAAAGCAAAGGTACATTAATTACAAGTGCCTAACTAGTGTACTTTGGCTACGTAAACAGTCTCTCCCTCCCTAAACTTACTCAATCACCCTCTTTGCATAAAAAGACATGTAAAAGAAAGGACAAAATACAACATAATGGTGTTGATAAGCTAAATTACCAGATAACATCGAGGCACACACAAGCCATATGGTGCCTCCACCACTATCGCCTGTTGCTGGCATAACAATGGAGTTGGCTAGACGGTGAGTGGCAGCAACAGTCAAACAAATGGCCGTTCCTCTGAATTAGCCCAGCGCCAGAATGAATACACAGTTCAGCATCTTTCAGCCTACAGGTGCGCTTAAGTGGCAAACCAGATGTCAGCATGGGAGCGGGACTGTTTGTGGAGTAATTCAGCCGCTCCACGAGCCGCTGCTTCAATAACAGCAGGAACAATGAAGGGCCCCTTCCCCCATTTTCCCACAATCCCGTGCTCCCAGAGGAAGCCCTGTCTACTGAATCTGGCACAATTTTTTCTCTTCTGACAAAGTTTCAATTCTTGAAAACAGAAAGAGAAAACAGATAAATAAACTAACTGTTAACTGGTTCTCTCCCTCTGAAAGGTTATATTACAATGCTATACATAAAGTTCATTTTTAAAGGCCATGATTTAGTTACAGAGAGAAGAAAACAAAAAATCAGATCACATATAAGCTTATAAATGTCAGTTTCAGTTCCAAAATGAACACTTTTTAGACCATATGGTCTAAACACTTCAAGATAATTATTAGGTTTTGATTAAATTATATTTTAAAAAAATAATGAAAACTGTCACAGATTTTATTAGTGATATGTACTGTTTTGGATTGTAAGAATTGGTGTTTCCATTTTAAAAGGGTCTATCTACTCTGTTTACAGAAGTTAAATAGACTGGCAAGTCATAACAGCAACACAATAGTGAAGCGGGGTCGACCTCATCTGAGACAACAAACCACTGTCAGACAGCAGTGGGAGAGGGGGAAACACCAAACAAGAAACACAAAATACTAATTCTTCTTCTTCTTCTTCTTCTACTACAGTATAAGGCATGTACTTGGCTTTTAAATGCAAACTGAACTATAATAAGCACATAAAGTGTACATGCATTCATTAAACTTTTCACAATGCTGAAAAACACATTGCACAAAATTAAGCCCTCCAAGTCCATTCAGTTAATTTAACCTTTAAAACTTTTCTTTCTATATAGAAAAGAAAAATATAGCTGATATCTATTACATGTTTTTTTAATGGCAGATACATACTTTAAAACTGAAGAAAAACATACAGACTTACTATACTGGAAAATAGCAGTAAACGCATATTTCAAGTCTCTACCCTCTTTTAGTAGTTAAACATGACAAATGGCACAGAATGTCCCAAAATATGACAAATGTTGCCCCAAAATGATGTCTAGGTAGGCAGCACACTAGGTTTTGAGACAGTCTCAGACCAGGCACTAATTTTAGTCTGAGGGCTTTCAAACGTCCAGATTAATTATTAACAGGGGCTGGACCATGGACTTTTTCCCCAATCCTTTATTTATGTACACAAAACTGGCGTTTTTCAGGAAAGCAAACGGGAGCGGGGTGTTAGCCCGACCAAATAAGCGACTAAACATCCACAAGTCACTGAGGTCACGCTAATAACCAGAAATCAATTACACTGATTGAGTCATCCCAGAAACATGAATCACAACGTGAGATTTACTATTAAAGTAAATATGAACTTACTGTTACAAAGAAGCCGTGGTAAACTAGCTGGCACGGATCGAAGGAAAAAGTGTTTTCTGAACCTCCACAAGTAGCCTAATGAAAATCTCTGCGGATGTTTGCACAATCTACAAAAAAGGTAAACACGAATCATTTTTATTTAACTGCTTCTTTTGGCACAGTGCATTTTGGATTTTTTCTTTCGCTTTTCATCGTGAAAGGCTGTTTATTTATGCCGTGTCATTTTTAAAAACTGGGAATAAAATTACAGCCACTATTCTCTTAATATTTATCTTTTAATCCATAATACTTAACAGTAAACACAAAGTGTTAGCAGAACTAGCAGTAAAAATTAAACACCATTTTTACACTTCAAAGCAATTTTACACAGAACCTAAATAGAGTCTATAACTTCGCATCGCTTCTGACAACTTAGTATAAAGCACAAACGTACCTCAGTCTTTTAAATGTGTCTGATGCTGTGGACTGAGCGCACGCTCTGATTTATTTCCAGCTGATCACTTTTTTTTCTTGTCGGAGCGCAAGAGCGCGACTATTCCGCGTATCTAACAACGATGTGAAGTATGCGCGGAATGAGGGCAAGAATGAAATGAACGCGAAGAACTGAGTTTGCGTTGGGGGCGGGACCGGAGTGACGTCGCCCGCAGAACTCCTAGGCAGTGGGAGGGGCCGCCGCTGAGTGTGTGACTGAAGTGGTGAGGATTTTTGATTCAACAGTGACTCGACTCTTTTGAATCCCTTCACTAAAAGAATTCGTTCTTTATTTGAGTACAGTGGCCTTTCTGAATTACATAATGGAGCCAGTAGGTGGCGACACGTGAATCGTTTAATCAATCAATTTATTAAACACCGAAAATAATCCACGAAGTGAACTTTTAAAAGAGCATTTTCTTCATCTTAGGTTTTCCCTACATTTTTTCAACTGCTGGCATGACTGTTATCAAGTTGTACAAAAAACAGCAATACCCTAGAGTTTCGTTTTTACATTTTAGTTAATATTACACATTTATAATTTTTCTCAATCAAAATGTTGCCTTCAGACTCGAAACAGTAGGTTCAACCAATGAAACACTATTTTCACAGCCCACACTCAAATGTTATTTTTTCTTAGTAGACTTTGAACGCAGTAAACACTTAAAGATATGTATCAGTGCAAGGAAATGAAGAAGATTTGTTCACTTTAAAGATTAGTTCATGAACTGATTTTTTAATGAAACACCAGTAATGTAAACGAATTGGGGAGAAGTTCATGTATTTATAATATCGACAATGTCAAGTGAAGAAGCAAAATTACATTCCCTTTTGAACTGTCTGTCCCGTTGCATTAAACGCTTATGAGGAAACTCCTGTTTACTCTGAATACTGAAGCCTGATTTGTTCACGATCGTGTTGCTGCATGAACAAACAGTGTTTCAACCCGCCAAAAGGGGTGGAGCCGACTGCTTTATAAGTCTGCTCTGAGCGCCATTTAATCCGAATTTTTCTCCTTCAGAGCGAAGATCATCTCCTCGCTGGATTCTGAAGAAGAAGCAAGAAGCCTGCTGCTTGCCGTAGAAGAGCCCCGGCAGTGGAAGATCACCAGCAAGCCTTCTCCTGTGGCCATCCAGCGAAGAAGAGCAAATTTCCTGTGACGTTGTTGCAAAAGTCACGCCATGACTGTGGCTCATGCAGGGAATCTCTGCATGATGTAGACGGGCACAGTGAGTGGGTCGCTTGTCTGGGCAGCGACCACTCAGAGGTGGCGCACACCGGGACAGAATGCTCTGATTGCGAGAGCATTGCCCCACTCCTCTCGCGGATCACCTTTCACAAAGGTGGTCCTCCCTGGCCTGCTCTCCCCTTTCTTCCCTCCCAGGAGCCTAGGAGGAAGAAACAGTGGGACAGCGGGGTTCAAACACTGGGCTCCAGTGAACTAATGCCCGCATTAGTTTTGTATTGAGCGCCTCTCATCGGCTGCAAGAGGCTTGATTTCCTTCGGCGGATCTAAGGAGGAAGTTGTTTCGACAGATGCAGAGGACTGGGCGTGGTCCAGCGAAGAGCCCAAAACCCCACCTCTGACGCAGACAACATGGCCCAGTGTGGATAGCGAGCAGCGCAGCATCCTAGACGAGTGGTACCTGAAGGAACGCCATCAATGATCCTACTGCCAACGGCCTGCCCCGTTCTTCCCAGAAGTTCATGAAGAACTCACCAGGACGTGGCATGCCCCCTACTCAGTGTGTCTTCGCAACATGGACGAGTCCGGCCTGAGTTCTGATGCCTTCAGAGAGCTGCACACAGTGAATGACTTGGCTCTGCACACTACTAAGGCCTCTATCTCAGGCATCTGAAC